CAGAATAAAAATTGATGTAAATATGAGATTTGTTTACAAAGCGGCTGTGCAGGTGGTGTCGGAAGAATTACGTTTTCTCTAGTCAAACACTAGGGGTAATTGTAGAAAAATATTCTTTTCGTATGCCTTTACTCTATGTATAGCAATTCACAACCCTTGTGGGTTTAGTGGTTTTTATAATAAATAATAATAATGGATCAAAGTAGAATGACATGGAAAGCATATAAATCTGTAGGGGAAGGAAGGAGGGGTAGGGGTCGTCCTCAAAAGGGTTGGAAAGAGGGGGTAAAGGAGGTTTTTTGGGCAAGGGGCTTGGACTTCCAGCAAGCGTGCATGAGCGTGTTAGATAGGAGTGAATGGAGACGAATGATACTTGGGACCTGACGATCTGTTGGAGTGTGAGCAGGGTAATATTTAGTGAAGGGATTCAGGGAAACCGGTTATTTTCATATAGTCGGACTTGAGTCCTGGAAATGGGAAGTACAATGCCTGCACTTTAAAGGAGGGGTTTGGGATATTGGCAGTTTGGAGGGATATGTTGTGTATCTTTATATGTGTATGCTTCTAAACTGTTGTATTCTGAGCACCTCTGCAAAAACAGTGATAATGCGCGAGTGTGGTGAAAGTGTTGAATGATGATGAAAGTATTTTCTTTTTGGGGGATTTTCTTTCTTTTTTGGGTCACCCTGCCTCGGTGGGAGACGGCCGACTTGTTGAAAAAAAAAAATAATAATAATTATTATTATTATTATTATTATTAATATTAATATATTATTATTAGTAATCTTCAGTAATCTTTACTGAAGATTACTACTAATAATATATTAATATTAATAATAATAATAATTATTATTATTAATTATAAAAAGCACTAAACCCACAAGGGTCGTGAATTCCCATACATAGAGTAAAGGCATACGAAAAGAATATTTTTCTGCAGTTAACCCCCGTCGACTTGTTGAAAAAGAAAATTATTATTATTATTAATATTATTAATAATAATAATATAATTATTATTATTATTATTATTATCTTCATTCACTCTAAAAATGGTGTGTTGCTGTTTGTTTATTCTGAACTAACTTGTACAACTTGTACACAATGTAAGAGTGTTTGTATTGTGAGGCAATTACAGTGGACCCCCGCATAACGATCACCTCCGAATGCGACCAATTATGTAAGTGTATTTATGTAAGTGCGTTTGTACGTGTATGTTTGGGGGTCTGAAATGGACTAATCTACTTCACAATATTCCTTATGGGAACAAATTCGGTCAGTACTGGCACCTGAACATACTTCTGGAGTGAAAAAATATCGTTAACCGGGGGTCCACTGTATTATTAAAATAAAAAAAATATTGAGGTAAATGTTTTACAAACTCTTACAAATGGACGTGAATGAACTAAAAGTAGACACATATTAATACGCATTTATTTCGCCTGACCAAGTGATCATCCACTACCTGTTCAGTTTGTGTTTTTACATTGTCTCAACTCTGTATCTCGTTCTCTCTCTCGTTTACCCTTTCGTTAACTAGTTGGCTCTCATTGACGATGGCGTCTAAGGTTAGCTGTAGTAAAAAGAGAAGTCGTAAACCTCTTGCTTTAAGTGCCAAGTTTTTACCTGGAGTTTACCTGGAGAGAGTTCCGGGGGTCAACGCCCCCGCAGCCCGGTCTGTGACTAGGCCTCCTGGTGGATCAGAGCCTGATCAACCAGGCTGTTACTGCTGGCTGCACGCAAACCAACGTACGAGCCACAGCCTGGCTGGTCAGGTACCGACTTTAGGTGCTTGTCCAGTGCCAGCTTGAAGACTGCCAGGGGTCTGTTGGTAATCCCCCTTATGTATGCTGGGAGGCAGTTGAACAGTCTCGGGCCCCTGACACTTATTGTATGGTCTCTTAACGTGCTAGTGACACCCCTGCTTTTCATTGGGGCGATGTTGCATCGTCTGCCAAGCCTTTTGCTTTCGTAGCGAGTGATTTTCGTGTGCAAGTTCGGCAGTTAGAGGATGATGGTATGCCATTCTGATTTTATTCAATAAATACCCTGCCACTCACCTCTCACACATTAATATTAATATTTTAAGGTAAGTAATAAGTGTACTCTGTGTGTATCTTACCTTTTATTTTGTTCTTAATGCCTATTTCTATTGCTAACTTAATTTAAGTTAGTGTAAACTTGTTGTCTGGCATTTATTGCATAGTTTATATGCTCTGATAATAATACTTGTGGAGTTGGGTTGGGGGACAACATTACGTTTTCTCTGTTTAGCCATCAGAGAAAACGTGTATGACTCTGCGTTTGGCCCAGCTACTCCCCCACTCCGCTTTTGTTTACAATTTTCGGCATGAATTATTCATTACTTCTACCTTCGTTTATGATGGCATCTAAAGGTAGTTGTTAGAAATGATTAAATTCATTGTACAAGGCATGTCGATGTTAATAATATGGCTCTGGGCCACAGTGTAGGTAGCCGGTAGGTGTAGCCCAGGCGGGCTACACCTACCGGCTACCTACACTGACTTTATACAAATAAATACTACTCGCCTCTCTTCCTATATTAAGACTACACATATTTTAAGGTAAATAATGAGTGTACTGTATGTGCATTTTGCCCCTCTGGGATGTTTTAAATATCGTATATTAAGTATGAGACGGGGAGCCAGGGCTACCTACACCTGGGCTACCTGCACCTGACTTCCTACAAATAAGTACTACTCACCTCTCTCCCTACATTAAGATTACAAATACTTTAGGATAAGTAATGAATTTACTGTGACTGTATTTTACTTTGTGTGTTTTTAATGCCTAGTTCTATTACTAACTTAATATAATTTAGTGTAAACTTGTTGTCTGGCATTTATATGCATTTATAAATGGAAAAAATGGAGCTCTGCCTTCCGGCGATGTCTGCTTTCCGGCGACAGCCTGGAACCTAACCTGCCATATAAGTGGGGCCCTACTGTATATATTATCATGTATTTCTTTCTCCTTTCCAGTGAGTACGTGTTCAAGATTTGAATGTGTTCCCAGTAATTTAGGTGATTTACTGGCTCAAGGTGAGCCATAAATGATCTCTGTATTTGTTCCAGCTCTGATATTTCTACTGCTTGAACAGGGCCGTCAGCACTGACCAATATTCTAAATGGGGGAACACTAGCGATTTGAAGAGTGCCACCATCGGCATTATTTCCCTTGTTTTGAAAGTTCTCAATACCCACCTCGTCATCTTCCTGGCTGTCTTGATCTTTGTCTTGTTATGATCTTTAAAAGAAAGGCGAGTTGACATAATTATTCCCAGGTCTTTTATGTGTTCCTTTCATTCTATTTGGTGACCCTCTTGAGTTTTGTATGCAGTGTTCCTTTTGAGTTCTTCAGTCTTTCCATACCTAAGCAGCTGGAACTTATCACCATTGAACGTCACGTTGTTCTCCACTGCCCACTGGAAAACTCTGCATTTTCTTCCTGTAATTTGTCAGCATCCTCTACCGTAGTGACTTCATTCTTATTTTAGTATCATCTGCAAATGATGATACAAAAGTGTCATGGGTGTTTTTGTCTCTGTCTGCTATGAGGATGAGAAACAGCAGAGGTGCCGTTCAGTGCCTTGGGGCACTGAGCTTTTTACCTCTGTGATGATGGATCTTGCTCCGTTTACTATTACTTTTTGTGTTGTGTGTGTTAGGAACCCAAAAATCCATCTGCCTACCTTCCCTGTAATGCCCGTAACCCTCGTTTTGTGTGCTATCACTCCATGATCTCATTTGTCAAACGGCTTTGCAAAATCTGCTGCAGTCATTACAAGGGATTGTGTATACCCCTGCAGAGGATTGAAACTTGTCCTGTCTATTCCTGGTAATGTCCTTGATGGTGGTGGATGTGAAGGTAGATCCAAGTATCTACCTCCATATCCACCACCATCAAGGACATTACCAATAATATACAGGACAAGCTTCAATCCTCTGCAGGGGTATACACAATCCCTTGTAATGACTGCAGCAAATTATATATCGACAAAACATCCAGAGACCTCCGAACATGTAGTATTTCAGAACACCAGTACGTAAGCAGATCTGACGATCCAAGGAATGCCTGTGTTCAACACCGAAATTCACATAACCATTTAATCAACTACAGAAACGCAAGACTTATCGCCAGAGAAGACAACACTCAATACTGAAGAATCCTGGAATCATCACCTATCTGTATATCCAACAACTTCAACCAGAACAACGGCTTCTATAACATAATTGAACCCCTTGCCAAGAAACTTCATCACTATCCCACGTAAGAACACAAGAATGGAGGAACACTGTAGAAGGTCTACTCATATACTTATCCAATCTCCTTTTAAAGCTACTCAAGGTTCTAGCCTCTGTCACCCTACTCGGGAGATTTTCACATGCAGCATTCTCCACCTGACCCATCATTCTCATCCTATAAATACTCGTATCTCTCTCACCCAGGTAGATCTGTTTGTGACTTGACAAAGCCCACTGTGTGGGCGAATCGTTGTCAATAAAGGACCATATACTGCTTAAGTGACCACAATGTACTGACTCTAGCACAACATCAGATCAATTGGAGATTGGTTTCTCATTTCATTTTAGTCTTTTCCTATGTATATTTATTTGGTTAAACCTAATAAGAGAAAACTAGATTTGGAGGTTATCACTATTTTTGCACAGGAAAACAGTATTACCAACACCAAGTACAATATTCTAATTCTCCAACATTGTTCTGTTGTCTCTCAAAACTAGAGTAGAGTAAGGCTCTTTTTGCCAAAATATCTGGGGTTGATATACACAAATTCGGTCTGTGTTCAAGTATATACGGTGTTGTTGCAAATTTGGGACAATTTTGTTTAGTGTGTGGTATACCGATTGTCATTTGAAAGTTCATATTTTTTATTAGACTCTTAAGACCCCTATGTGCTTGTCTTACTTTCTTTTGCTTTTAAGTAGCCTATGTGTTTTCTAAAATTTTTTGTTTGTCAACAGCAAAGGGAGAATTGATAGGTTGCTTTGGGATAACCGAGCCAAATCATGGAAGTGATCCAGCCAACATGGAGACTCATGCAAAATACGTTCCATCTGACAAAGTATATGTTCTTAATGGTTCAAAGACGTGGTGAGTATATAAGATGTGAAATTTTTATGAAAGTTTTCATAGAATCCATGTATTTCTCATAAAATTAAATTTTTTTTTCGGATTTATATAATGTACTGATCTATGTTTTATCAAAGATTTTGAACTTATCTGTTTAATATAATTGTCTTTAAAATACAGTGGACCCCCGGTTAACGATATTTTTTCATTCCAGAAGTATGTTCAGGTGCCAGTACTGACCGAATTTGCTCCCATAAGGAATATTGTGAAGTACATTAGTCCATTTCAGACCCTCAAACATACACGTACAAACGCACTTACATAAATACACTTACATAATTGGTCGCATTGGGAGGTGATTGTTACGCGGGGGGTCCACTGTATAGCGATGTACTTTACATACGGTATATTCACTGGCTACCGAATTATTTATACAATTCAGCTAAAAAGGTAAATCAGGTACAGTGGACCCCCGGTTAACGAACTTTTTTCATTCCAGTAGTATGTTCAGGTGCCAGTACTGACCGAATTTTTTCCCATAAGGAATATTGTGAAGTAGATTAGTCAATTTCAGACCCCCAAACATACACGTACAAACGCACTTACATAAATACACTTACATAATTGGTCGCATTTGGAGGTGATCGTTATGCGGGGGTCCACTGTATATATTTCTAAAAAAATAATTATTCAAATAAGGATGGGACAATGTGAGCATACTGTAGTAATATTTGTACACAGATTTTTAATTTATTATATGTAAAAAAATCAAGCACAGTAGGGCCCCTGTATCTGTGGGTTCGGCTTCCACAGTTTCAGTTATCCACGGTTTACCGTGGAATAAAAATAACCCTTAATTTTTGCTTAATAATGACACCTAAGCCCAAAAGTAGTGAGGTTGGTAGTTCTTCAAAGCCTAAGAGAAGTCATGAAGTGCTTCCCATCAGTGAAAAAGTGCAAATTCCCCACTTATTGTGTGTAACTTAATTAACCCTGGCTTACTGGCTTACAAGCCAGTGTTGGTGCTGTAATTTTATGCCAAAATTCTAGCAGCTTCCAATCTTGCAGAAGAAAGCTGGTAAGCCTACATATGAGAGAATGGGCCTGAGTGGTCAGTGTGTGCTGTTTAAAAAAAAGTCCTGTAGCACGCAGTGCATAATGAGAAAAAAAATCCAACTGTGTTTTGGGTTTAAAACGCTGACTTTGCGGTGCATTTTTGTATGGTATTTATGGATGTATTCTTGTTTTCTTGGGCTCATTTGATAGAATGGAAGATACATTACAGAAATGGAGGTGATTTCGAGTGGTTTACAAACTAAAAGTACCTTGAAATTGAACTCAAAGTAGCAGAAATGTTAAATTTTTGTCGATGTTCAAGAGTAAACAAATGATGTCACGTGTTCAGTACACATCAACTGGTGAGTCTAATATGCTTTCACAAATGCGCTGATATTAGTTATACCATTTTTACAATAATGCATTAGTCTGCATAACAGTAAATCTTCTATATTTTGTGTGAATAAAAATTCAAAATGGAAAGAGGGCCCTGGAGACATGACTAATGAACAGAGATAATGTTATTTTAGTGCTAGGAATGTTTGTATTGTTAATTCTGGACCCTATCTTGAAATTGGCCTTACTTGAATTGTGTATGAAATTGGCCAAATTACCAATTTCTGATCACTTTATTGGGTATTTGAAATTGGTAAATAGGCAGTTTCTTGTACTCATTCGATAGAACAAATGGAGTTCTAGTGATATAGTTATGAGTTTGGTCACCTGGAACAATGGAATTGGCCGAAAATAGGGCTCGAAGTGGGCGAAATCGCTGATGCGTAAATATCACTGAGACCACTAACTTTGCAAGAGCGTAATTCTGTAAGTTTTCTATCAAATTTTATATTTTTGGTGTCATTACCATCGGGAAAAGATTCTCTATCATCTTGTATTTTTTTTTTTTTTTTTTTTTTTTTTTTACACTGAGAACAAGTTTGTGAGCAGGGGTCTTGACAGTGAAAGGGTTAAACTTTATCATAGGAATGTATGAAAATGAAAAACGACTTACATATAGGGTTCACTACTATTTGTGGTTTCAGGTATCCATGGTAGGTCTTGGAACATATTTCCCTGTGGATACTGGGGGATTACTGTACATTATTTAACCCTTAAACGGTCCAAACGTATATATGCGTTCACGCGCGTAGCGCCCCAAACGTATATATGTTTTCTTTGTCATTCATTCAACATTGCCACAATAAGCCTGAGTCACCTAGACATGAGAGAATGGGTGTGCGCACTCACTGTGTGCCATATTAAAATAATTGGGGATGCCTGGGTACCATATGCTCTTTTTTCCTTTTAAAAGAAAAGATTTTTTTTTTCCTCAAAAAATTTGGGGCGCTACGCGAGTGAACGTATATATACGTTTGGACCGTTTAAGGGTTAAGTAAATGAACAAGATCAAAATTGTGTATACAAGAACAATAAAAATGGGTAGTAGGTTGGTAAACAGCAACCACCCAGGGAGGTACTACCGTCCTGCCAAGTGACTGTAAAACGTAATTGTTTTACATGATGGTAGGATTGCTGCTATCTTTTTTCTGTCTCATAAATATGCAGGATTACAGGTACGTCTTGCTACTTCTACTTACATTTAGGTCACACTGCACATACATGTACAAGCATATATATACACACCCCTTTGGGTTTTCTGCTATTTTCTTTCTAGTTCTTGTTTATTTCCTCTTATCTCCATGGGTAAGTGGAACAGAATTCTTCCTCCGTAAGCCATGTGTGTTGTAAGAGGCAATTAAAATGCCAGGGGCAAGGGGCTAGTAACCCCTTCTCTTGTATAAGTTACTAAATTTAAAAAGAGAAACTTTCGGTTTTCTTTTTGGGCCACCCTACCTTGGTGGGATATGGCCGGTTTGTTGTAAAAAAAAAAGAACAAAAAATACGTAAAGACATGACAGTGCAAGTGTACATTCTATATTTTCCTGGAAATAGTAGACCTAAATTTATTAAAATTTAGGTCTACTATTTCCAGATATGTCAATTATTATTAACCCTTTCAGGGTCCAGAGGCCAAATTTCAAAGTGTGCACCAGGGTCCAAGAATTTTCAAAAAATAATTTTGTTATTTTTGTCTTATGAAATGGTAGAGAATCTGTTTCTGATGGTAATAAAACAAAAAGTACGAAATTTGATGAAAAATTGACGAAATCATGCTCTCGCTAATTTTGATGTGTCGGCGATATTTATGCATCAGTGATTTTTGCCGACTTTGACTCCCATTTTAGGCCAATTACACTATTCCAGTCAACCAAATTCTTAGCTATTTCATTAGTATTACTTCTATTCTATCACTGAGCACAAGAAATCGCCAAGTCAACTGTTTCAACTACAAAATAAAGTGATCAGAAATTGGTAATTTGGCCAATTTAATTCAAAGTTCAAAATATTCCAATTTCAAAATAGGGTCCAGAATAAACAATGCAGGAATTCCTGGCACTAAACTAACATTTCCTCTGTTCATTAGTTATGTTTTCATGCTTTACAAATGAATTCCATTTTGTTTTTTTAATCACATAATGAATTTTTATTCAAACCAAAAAATAGAAGATTTTTTGTTATGCAATACTGTAATAATTGTATAAATAATATCCCCATATTTGTGAATGTATATTAGACCCACCAGCTATCATGTATTAGACTTGTGAGGTCATTTGTTTACTCTTAAACATCGGCAAAAATTTAACATTTTTGCTGCTTTGAGCTCAGTTTCAAGCCATTTCTAATACTAAAACCAATCAAAATCATCTCTATTTCTGTAGTATATCTTCCATTCTATCAAATGATACCATGAAATTACAAATACAACTATAAAAAACATACGAAAAAACACTGCAAAGTCGCTGTTTTAACCCTTAAACGGTCCAAACGTATATATACGTTCACGCGCGTAGCGCCCCAAACGTATATATACATGTATACGTTTTCTTTGTCATTCATTCAACATTGCCACAATAAGCCTGAGTCACCTAGACATGAGAGAATGGGTGTGCGCACTCACTGTGTGCCATATTAAAATAATTGGGGATGCCTGGGTACCATATGCTCTTTTTTCCTTTTAAAAGAAAAGATTTTTTTTTTCCTCAAAAAATTTGGGGCGCTACGCGAGTGAACGTATATATAGGTTTGGACCGTTTAAGGGTTAATCAAAAATTACGGTCTCAGTTTTTTTTCTCTCATTATGCACTGTGTGCTGCAGGATTTGTTTTATGTGGTGCACACATACCACATAGATGTATTCTCTCATATCTAGGCCCAAATTTACTGCTCACAGCTTATCAGAGTGAGCTGAGCTCATGGCGTAGTTCTACGGTTTGGACCCTGAACGTAAAGCCATAGAACTACGGCACGGACCCTGAAAGGGTTAAGATCATGAAATAACAATCTTTTCATTCAGATTTAATAGATTACATTATGTGACACGCTCTCCTCCCTATTAGTCTATTAAATCAAGGTTTTACTACAAATGTAAAATATTTTACCACTGTTTATAGTAATGTGAATTTTAAATATTCTTTCAGGATCACAAACTCACCCATTGCAGATGTTTTTCTGGTGTGGGCCAAGTGTGAGGATGGAGACATACATGGCTTTATCCTGGAAAAAGGCATGCCTGGTCTTGATTGCCCAAAGATTGAGGGAAAGTTTTCTCTTCGTGCATCACCTACTGGCATGATCCTAATGGATGATGTTGTTGTACCAGAGAAAAACATGTTGCCGGGAGTGAAGGGGTTAAAGGTAAAAGTACATATTATGAAATGTTATGCAGAGAATTAGGAGTGTGGAAATTAGGAGAAGGTGTTGAGTTAACAAAAGTATATTAGTCAGAGGGCTGAAGAGCGGTTGTTGAGTTGATTTGGTCATTTAGAGAGAATGGATCAAAGTAGAATGACATAGAGAGCGTATAAATCTGTAAGGAAAGGGAGGAGGGGGTAGGGGTTGTCCTCGAAAAGGTTGGAGGGAGGGGGTAAAGGAGGTTTTGTGGGCAAAGGGCTTGAACTTCCAGCAAGCCTGTGTGAGCGTGTTAGATAGGAGTGAATGGAGACGAATGGTATTTGGGACCTGACGAGCTGTTGGAGTGTGAGCAGGGTAATATTTAGTGAAGGGATTCAGGGAAACATGTTAATTTTGTATAGCTGGACTTGAGTACTGGAAATGGGAAGTACAATGCCTGCACTCTAAAGGAGGGGTTTGGGATATTGGCAGTTTGGAGGGATATGTTTTATATCTTTATACATATATGCTTCTAAACTGTTGTATTCTGGGCACCTCTGCAAAAACAGTGTTTATGTATGAGTGAGGTGAAAGTGTTGAATGATGATGAAAGTATTTTCTTTTTGGGGATTTTCTTTCTTTTTGGGTCACCCTGCCTTGGTGGGAGACGGCCGACTTGTTGAAAAAAAAAGAAAGTTATGTATTAGGTAGATTTCTCAAAATTTATGTTTTAAGTGATGATGATGTGTCCTGCAGTACATCGGCTTACAAAAAATGAGCTAAGCGATAGTCTCCCACGAAAGGAGTGACCCAGAGGTAAACAGTCACACAACTGCACTTGTTCCAAAAGTGTGCTGATCTCAGTCAGATTACCCTCAGACTGCAACATCCCCATCTTTTCTTCAGGGTGCAGGGACTGCCCTTCCCACTTCCAGGACTTGAGTCTATCTAATTGGTTTCCCTGAATCCCTTCAGAAAGTTACCTTGCTCATATTCCAACAGCAGGTCTGTTATAAACCACTTGTCTCTATTCACTCCTATTTAATACACACAAGCTCGCTGGATGCTCAAACTCCTTAACCTCAAAGCTTCATTCACCCTCTAACCATTTCTGGGATGACCCTTACCCCCCAGTCTTACTTCAACCCCAGATTTATACAACCTTCTTATCACTCTCACTCTCTACATGTCCAAGCCACCTCAACAACTCAGCCCTCTGAATTATACCCTTGGTGATCCCACAGTGCCTTTTAATTTCTATGCTCTGACATCTTCACTGCCTCTAGCCTCATCTTCATTGCAGCATTCAAAACCCATGTCTCTCCCATATAAATGTGTTGGTACCACAGTACTCGGGTGCATTCCCTTTTTTTGCCTCCATAATTAAACGTTTCTTTCCGCAGATACTTAATACATCACTCACCTTTTTTTCCCATATCTATTCTATGGTTCACCTCATCTTTCATTAAACCATTGGCTTCATGTGTGGTATAATAGTGAAGTGGGGATTGTTGTTGGAGGGATATGTCACAGACCATGTGATATGAAGATACAATTGAAGTGGCTTATGATCCTTGTACAGCTATTAGATCTTAGACTGACATGTGACCTTTACTTGGTAACTGGGCTATGCATTATGATATATATTCCTGTAAATTGTGTAGTGCATTTGTTCTTAACTTTTTTAAATGCCTTTATCCCCCTCACCTGTCTTAATTTTCTTTTATACTTCCTGTCAAAAATAGTTTAAAACCTTAATTTCATTTGGAAAGCTTTTTCATTTTTACGGAAAAATAAATGTAAAGGTGAAGTAGATCAATAACTCAGTTATTTTTTTTTTTTTTATTAACACATCGGCCGATTCCCACCAAGGCAGGGTGGCCCGAAAAAGAAAAACTTTCATCATCATTTGCTCCATCACTGTCTTGCCAGAGGGGTGCTTTGCACTACAGATATAAAACTGCAACATTAACACCCCTCCTTCCGAGTGTAGACAATGTACTTCCAATCTCCAGGACTCAAGTCCTGCCTGCCGGTTTCCATGAATCCCTTCATAAATATTACTTTGCTCACACTCCAACAGCACTTCAAGTATTAAAAACCATTTGTCTCCATTCACTCCTATCAAATACACTCATGCACACTTGCTGGAAGTCCAAGCCCCTTGCACACAAAACCTCCTTTACCCCCCTCTTTTACCCCCTTCTAAGGCCAACCCCTACCCCACCTTCCCTCCACTACAGATTTATACACTCTCGAAGTCTTTCTGTTTTGTTCCATTCTCTCTACATGTCCAAAAAACCTCAATAACCCCTCCCCAGCCTTCTGGATTATAGTTTTGGTAATCCCACACCTTCTCCTAATTTCCAATCTACGAATTCTCTGCATTATATTCAAACCACACATTGCCCTCAGACATAACATCTCCACTGCCTCCAGCCTTCTCCTCGTTGCAACATTCATCACCCATGCTTCACACCCATACAAGAATGTTGGTACAACTATACTCTTATACATTCCCCTTTTTGCTTCCATGGACAAAGTTCTTTGTCTCCACAGACTCCTAAGTGCACCACTCACCCTTTTCCCCTCATCAGTTCTGCGATTCACCTCATCTTTCATAGACCCATCTGCTGACATGTCCACTTCCAAATATATGAATACATTCACCTCCTCCATACTCTCCCTCCAATCTGATATCCAGTCTTTTGCCACCTAATCTTTTTGCTATCCTCATAACCTTACTCGTTCCTATATTCACTTTTAATTTTCTTCTTTTACATACCCTACTAAATTCATCCACCAACCTCTGCAACTTCTCTTCAGAATCTCCCAAAAGCACCATGTCATCAGCAAAGAGCAACTATGACAACTCCCACTTTGTGTTTGATTCTTTATCTTTTAACTCCACACCTCTTGCCAAGACCCTAGCATTCACTTCTCTTACAACCCCATCTATAAATATATTGAACAACCACAGTGACATCACACATCCTTGTCTAAGGCCTACTTTTAAATATATATATATATAATAATCTCCCTGTAGGTAGTAGGTTGGTAGACAGCAACCGTCCAGGGAGGTACTACCGTCTCGCCAAGTGAGTGTAAAACGAAAGCCTGTAATTGTTTTACATGATGGTAGGATTGCTGGTGTCTTTTGTCTGTCTCATAAATATGCAAGATTACAGGTAAGTCTTGCTACTTCTACTTACACTTAGGTCACACTACACATACATGTACAAGCATATATATACACACCCCTCTGGGTTTTCTTCTATTTTCTTTCTAATTCTTGTTCTTGTTTATTTCCTCTTATCTCCATGGGGAAGTGGAACAGAATTCTTCCTCTGTAAGCCATGCGTGTCGTAAGAGGCGACTAAAATGCCGGGAGCAAGGGGCTAGTAACCCCTTCTCCTGTATATATTACTAAATTTAAAAGGAGAAACTTCAGTTTTTTCTTTTGGGCCACCCCACCTCGGTGGGATACGGCTGGTATGTTGAAAGAAGAAGAAGAAGAATAATCTCCCTCTCTCCTCGCCACATTATCCTCGTAAAAACTCTTCACTGCCCTCAGTAACCTACCTCCTATACCATATACCTGCAACATCTGCCACATTGCCCCCCTATCCACCCTGTCATATGCCTTTTCTAAATCCATAAATGCCACAAAAACCTCTTTACTCTTATCTAAATACTGTTCACCTATGTTTCACTATAAACACTTGGTCTACACACCCCCTACCTTTCCTGAAACCTCCTTGTTCATCTGCTATCCTACTCTCTGTCTTACTCTTAATTCTTTCAATAATACACTTTACCAGGTGTACTCAACAGACTGTATCCCACCAAGGCAGGGTGGCCCAAAAAGAAAAATGAATGTTTTTCTTATTAAATTTATTTTTTTTTAGGAGAAGGGGTGACTAGCCCCTTGCTCCCATTCAACAGACTTATTCCCATATAATTTTTGCCCTCTCTTTTATCCCCTGTGCCTTTATATAAAGGAACTATGCTGTCTGCCAATCCCTAGGTACCTTACCCTCTTCCATACATTTATTAAATAATAGCACCAACCACTCCAAAACTACATCCCCTCCTGCTTTTAACATTTCTATCTTTATCCCATCAATCCCAGTTGCCTTACTCCCTTTCATTCTACCCACTGCCTCACGAACTTCCCCCACACTCACAACTGGCTCTTCCTCACTCCTACAAGATGTTATTGTCTTACTTAGTGTCTTTTTGTTGATGTTTTTAAGTATGATGCTTGTGTTTTTTTTTTTTTTTAGAAATAACGATACACATCATCACTGGCATTGAGAGTTTCTAGCTTCTATTCTTATGTGTAGAAGTGTTGAAAAATCTGTGTTTTAGACCCCAAAAATTAATTGTCTTTCATACACTTAGTGTTTTGAATTGATCAGCTTTGCTCTAGGTATCCCCCTCCCTATCAAGGACCACTGGTCTAGTGATTATTCCTGAATGCCTTTTGAAGGCAAGTGTACAGGATTACGTTAACAAGATGTATGCTATAAGTAGCACATTGTGTGCCACTATAAAAACTAAAGTCATGAACTTGAGATATTGAGATGAAGGAACCTTGTGATCCAGTCATTGAAAATCAGGACTACACATATATATGTCATGTGTGTTTACATCTGTGCATTAAAAATTTTCAGTATGCATATATCTAGTTTTAAAATTTTCTTCTTTGTCCTTTTAGTAATTGAATACAGAAGAAAGGTTGCTAGCCCTTTGCATTCTAGCCACCTTTTGCAGCATGCATGGCTTATAGGGAAAGAATTCTATGGCTCACTCTCCCCATGGGATAAAAAGGAAAGAAATCTACCTTGGCAACCAACAGGACCTCAGAGGTCATCCTCACAGTGTTGCTGTGACTCTTCCTTTACTCTGGGAATGCTGTTTGATTAGTGTGTTACAGTCAGTGGGTAATCTGACTGATGTTGTCATGTCAGCACACTTCTGGATAGATGGTGATTGGGTGAATGTTAGTGAATGTGTTTTCTTCTTTGGACATCATGAATGTAATAAAGTTGGTAGAATGACCGACAATATGTAAAGTAAAAGGACACAAGTGCAACTAATGTGACATTTTCATTGTGGCAACGTTTCGCTCTCCAGGCTTGACAAAGCTCCTGGAGAGTGAAATGTTGCCACAATAAAAATTTCACATTAGTTGCACTTGTGTCCTTTTACTTTACATACGACATCATGAATGTTGGTAAATGTGTTTTCTTCTTTGGGCATCCTGCCTTGGCAAGAAATGGCCACTGAGTTAAAAAAAAAATGTGTAGTAAAGCACGCAAGAATCACGTGAGAAGTGGCTGCTTCGAAATACTGTGTGGAGCGAGGTGCTGAGGACCATCCCTGGGTAAGATTGATGCATACTAAACTCCAAGGGGAAAAATGTTCTAAGCCTTTAAAGAAGTTTCTCTTACCAGGTTTGTTGAACCATTTAGGAATATAATATTTTGCCTTACTTTCACCAGTATAGGATCTTGCCACTTTTAGCATTTTCCATATTGTCTTCTCTCTCTCTCTTTTTTAATAGCTGTGCTCTGGCTGCACTCAGCTGACAGACATTAATCAACAATCATCATCTTTACAGGCTTTTTTTTCTCTTTGTTTGACCATCAGCATGGAAAACACTGGCTCATGTTGGAATTTTATAATAAAAATAAAATTCTGTACCTATTACTCATATCAGTTGCAGACCTACATGCTGCACCAGGCTGGAAGAAGTAGATAACCATATGTTTTGTTTGGTTAAGAATCAAAGACAGCTGGATTGCACAACTTGTTCTGTTGGCATAGTCAGTGTGGGAAAATTGCATCCCTAAGAATAAAAGTTTATTAGGAAAAAATTGACTTCCTAGGTGAAAAGGATTCTCTGTAGTTCATTTAGTGATTGCCTTCCTGTTCACTGTTTTAAGGATGAAAGAAAGTAACTGGTAGATCAGTAGAATGAGTTAAAAGAGGAGGTAGTCAATGCTACAACTACTGGAATATTTTAAAAATAATAACCTGTTAGAATGTGGAAGGAGGCATATCCAAGTGAAAACGTAGTAGACAGGTTTGAAACTGTCAATTTACAGGTAGGATTAATAGGCAATCATTTTCATAGTGGTTCTATGTACTGAAAGATGTTGCCCAGTCTTCAGAATGTAGTAGTTCAGATACAGTGTAAATACAGTAGGTACATATTAATAAATTAAGTTGTGCAAATTCTCAGAGATACAGAAGAGTGTCCAAGACATAGAATGCAAGAACAAGATGGAGCACTGCAGCAGGCCTACTGGCCCATGCTTAACAGGTATAAGTCACACCTGCTTAAGGAGAAAGGAGCACTGCTGTAGGCCTATTGGTCCAAGCTAGTTAGGTCCAACTTACACCCACCCACACCCACTCATGTACTTGTTAAAACTATTTTTAAAGCTATACAAGGTTTTAGCTTCAGTGCTACTCGTGAGTTTGTTCCACTCATCTACATCTCCAGTGCTTTCGTATATCCTTGCTGTGAATCCTGTCAAGGTTAGATATTTTAGCACATTATTTACATTCTTCTTCTTCTTTCAACAAACCGGCCGTATCCCACCGAGGCAGGGTGGCCCAAAAAGAAAAACGAAAGTTCCTCTTTTTAAATTTAGTAATTTATACAGGAGAAGGGGTTACTAGCCCCTTGCTCCTGGCATTTTAGTTGCCTTTTACAACACGTATAGCTTACGGAGGAAGAATTCTGTTCCACTTCCCCATGGAGATAAGAGGAAATAAACAAGAACAAGAACTAGTAAGAAAATAGAAGAAAACCCAGAGGGGTGTGTATATATATGCTTGTACATGTATGTGTAGTGTGACCTAAGTGTAAGTAGAAGTAGCAAGACGTACCTGAAACCTTGCATGTTTATGAGACAGAAAAATGGACACCAGCAATCCTACCATCATGTAAAACAGTTACAGGCTTTCGTTTTACACTCACTTGGCAGGACGGTAGTACCTCCCTGGGCAGTTGCTGTCTACCAACCTACTGCCTAGACATTATTTACATCTCCATTATTTATTTCTGTTTTCCATTTATGTACCTCAGTCATATTTCCCAAATTCTGTGTCTTTCTAGAGAGTGCAGATTCAGTGCACTCAGTCTATCCAGTCTATTCTCGAAAAGATTTCTGATACATAGGATCAACTTTGTCATCCTCTGTACATTTTCCAGTGCATTTACGTTCTGCAATATGGTGACCAGAACTGTGCAGAAATCTAAATGAGGCCTCACCAACATTATATAGAGTTGAATAATAACCTGAGGACTCCTGTTATTTATACTTCTTGATATGAAGCCAGGAATTCTATTCACTGTATATGACCACTTACACACTGTTGTCTTGGCTTTAGATTACTGCTAACCAAAACTGCTAAATCTTTTTTTTCATTCAGAGTGATTAAAATCTACATTATCTTATAAGTATAGTGGTTAAGATCGGCATAGGTTTAATTTCTGCACTTTAGTTGATTTTTAACCTTAGTAATGTTTGATATACACAATTAAAAAGTAGTTAGTGACGTTACATAAATTTTAATTGTATTTATTTTCAGGGGCCTTTCAGCTGTTTGAACAATGCACGATATGGTATTGCATGGGGTGCCTTAGGGGCAGCAGAATTCTGCTTGGATGCTGCACGTAGTTATACACTAGACAGAAAGCAGTTTGGACGTCCTCTGGCAAACAACCAACTCATACAGAAGAAGATGGCTGATGCACTGACTGAAATTTCTCTAGGCCTTCAAGGCTGCCTACATGTTGGCCGTCTGAAGGACAAAGGCAAGTAAGTAGCCGTGATACACCACTTGTTTTTTACTTCAGTTTACATTGGATTGTAATTAATTAACAATATAAATAATGTTAGTAGGTAGTAGGTTGGTAGACAGCAACTGCCCAGGGAGGTACTACCGTCCTGCCAAGTGAGTGCAAAACGAAAGCCTGTAATTGTTTTACATGATGGTAGGATTGCTGGTGTCTTTTTTCTGTCTCATAACATGCAAGATTTCAGGTACGTCTTGCTACTTCTACTTACACTTAGGTCACACTACACATACATGTACAAGCATATATATACACACTCCTCTGGGTTTTCTGCTATTTTCTTACTAGTTCTTATTCTTGTTTATTTTCTCTTATCTCCATGGGGAAGTGGAACAGAATTCTTCCTCCGTAAGCCATGCGTGTTGTAAGAGGCGACTAAAATGCCGAGAGCAAGGGGCTAGTAACCCCTTCTCCTGTATAAATTACTAAATTTAAAAAGAGAAACTTTTGTTTTTCTTTTTGGGCCACCCTGCCTTGGTGGGATACGGCCGGTTTGTTGAAAGAAGAAGAAGAAGAATAAATAATGTTAGTAGGTAGTAGGTTGGTAGACAGCAACTGCCCAGGGAGGTACTACCGTCCTGCCAAGTGAGAGTAAAATGAAAGCCTGTAATTGTTTTACATGATGGTAGGACTGCTGGTGTCCTTTTTTCTGTCTCATAAACATACAAGATTTCAGGTATGTCTTGCTACTTCTACTTACACTTAGGTCACACTACACATACATGTACAAGCATATAAATACACACCCCTCTGGGTTTTCTGCTATTTTCTTTCTAGTTCTTGTTCTTTTGTATTTCCTCTTATCTCCATGGGGAAGTGGGACAGAATTCTTCCTCTGTAAGCCATGCATGTTGTAAGAGGTGACTAAAATGCCGGGAGCAAGGGGCTAGTAACCCCTTCTCTTGTATAAATTACTATATTTAAAAAGAGAAACTTTCGTTTTTCTTTTTGGGCCACCCTGCCTTGGGATACGGCTGGTTTGTTGAAAAAAAAAAACTTGTTAATTTGTTTTATTTAATGATGTCCTTTCATTATTAAAAAAGGTAGTACTACATGCAGGCCAAAGCAGTTTATATTGAGTCATCCATTTCATGGAGCTCAGGTCACTTCACAGGCTGAATGAGATAGAATATTTTTTTCCATGTTGGCAGTTCCCACCAAGGTTGGGTAATCTAAGGTAGGAACCATTTACTACCACTCTGCCACATTCCCACCCATGCTTGAGAGTGCAGGCATTGCACTTCCCATCTCCTGAGCTCAAGTTATATTTTCTTCATTTTGTAGTATGTTTGTAAGCTAGTTGCATTTTAATGACAAGCTGATATCATGGCTAGTTTAATCAGGCATCCCATTAAACATACGTACATACACATGTTGAACCTTTATTTGGCTGCATTGTTCATTTTTTCCTACAGCTACTTTAGGTGCATTTAATCGGACTTTTACTGTAGTATGTCAGACACAATTAACTGGTTAATGACCACTTATTGCTCATACAATGACTAGATTTCCTGGTGATTGATGACCCTTACCTTCCTTGCATAACTGCTTCCATTCAAATATCAAGCACTCAAAGAGAGACAGGTCTCCACAGGTATATCAAGCACTCCGAGAGAGACAGGTCTCCATAGATACAGTGGAACCTTAAATATCAAACTTTCTTTGGTCCAGAAGGCTGTTCGAGTGCCTTTACCGAATTAATTTATTCCCATGAGGAATAATGTAAATTAGGTTAGTCCATTTCAGACCCTCAAAAATACACTTATAAAAGCACTTACAAAAATACACTTACATAATTGGTTGTGTTGGGAGCAGTTCGATTTTTGAGGTTCCACTGTATATCAAACACTCCGAGAGAGATAGGTCTCCACAGATATATCAAGCACTCTGAGAGACAGGACTGAATCATCTGTTTTCTACATCAACAGTCAACACAGTGTTTTCATATCCTATGCATCATAAGCTTAAATGTGAGGAACCTGGGAGTAATGTTTATATATAAAATTTGTTAATGAGCCAAGGAGTTGCAGGTTCTGGTCATGTCTGAGAGAGAGGCATTCTACCAGTTTTATCCTCGCTTATTGAATGCATAACACAAAAACACATGAAAATTATTAAAAATATTGAGAAAAGTAGGGGATATCACCTCGTGTTTTTTGTTATTGTTGGGTTGAATGGTTGTGACAGCCCAGGGTGTTGTGCTTTGTTGCATTGTTGCAACTGCCCAGGAAGTTGTGAGAGGTTTGGGTCTGTTACAACCCTTTGATAACTTCAAATTTTTTTGTTGGCATAATATTTTGGATTTGAGCTAATTCTGTGTTTCAGAGGCCATATCTCTAAATCTTTCTTCTTTCAACAAACTGTCCATATCCCACCAAGGCAGGGTGACCCAAAAAGAAAAACAAAAGTTTCTCTTTTTAACTTTAGTAATGCATACAGGGGAAGGGGCTACTAGCCCCTTGCTCCCGGCATTTTAATCACCTCTTACGACATGAGTGGCTTACAGAGTAAGAATTCTGTTCCATTTCCCCATGGAGATAAGAGGAAATATACAAGAACTAGTAAGAAAATAGAAGAAAACCCAGAGGGTGTGTGTATACATATGCTTGTACACATGTGTAGTGTGACATAAGTGTAAGTAGAAGTATGAAGATGTACCTGAAATTTTGCAGGTTTATGAGACAGAAAAAAGACACCAGCAGTCCTACCATCATGTAAAACAGTTACAGGCTCCTGTTTTACACTCACTTGGCAGGACGGTAGTACCTCCCTGGGCGGTTGCTATCAACCTACTCCCTAAAATATCTCTAAATATTGCTCTGATTTGTTCAATATTGACTTTCAGTTAAAAGAAGAGGTTTAGGAAATTTACATTTTATTCAAAATCCTATAGCTTATTTACAGTTCAGGGGTCTTACAAATTTATTTAATGGTTGCCCATCAGTAAAAACAGAACCCCATAAATGTCAGAAGACAATTGCACCTGAGTGTTAATCTACTGTGTAGGTAGCATTCTGGGGAGGAGGAGGAGGAGGGTGGCATTTCTTAGATAGGGCTGGACTTTGAAGTAAGGGGTTTAGAATTTTTTCTTTGCCTTTGTAAGGAAATCTTTTTTCCTTATTGCTTAGGGCTTTCTCTCAATATTTGAGTTAATTATCTGTGTGCTTTGACATTTTAGGGTCACCCCTGAGATGATAAGTCTTCTGAAGCGAAATTCTTGTGGAAAGGCTCTTGACATTGCAAGACATGCACGAGACATGCTTGGTGGGAATGGAATTTGTGATGAGTATCACATTATTCGACATGTTATGAATCTGGAAGCTGTCAACACCTATGAGGGTAAGAGAGATTATTAGTGGAGTACATGAAATTGCTTCTTTAGTATATTAAAATTGCTTCTTCAGTACATTTATTTTTTTTTATTAACACATCGGCCATTTCCCACTAAGGTAGGGTGGCCTGAAAAAAGAAAAATTTACACCATCCTTCACTCCATCACTATCTCACCAGAGGCACACTTACACTACAGTTGTAAAACTACAACATGAACACTTCTCCTTCAGAGTGCAGGCACTGTACTTTCCATCTCCAGGACTCAAGTCCGGCCTGCTGGCTTCTCAGAATCCCTTCAGGAATGTTACCTTGCTCACACTCCAACAGCACATCAAGTCTTAAAAGCCAATTGTCTCCATTCGCTCCTATCTAACGCACTCACACATGCTTGCTAGAAGTCTAAGCCCCTCGCACACAAAACCTCCTTTACCCCCTCCCTCCAACCTTTCCTAGGCCGACCTCTACCCTGCCTTCCCTCCACTACAGATTTATACACTTTTGAAGTCATTCTATTTTGTATCAATCCCTCTATATGTCCGAACCACCTCAACAACCCCTCCTCACCCCTCTGGACAATAGTTTTGGTAATCCCGCACCTCCTCCTAATTTCCAAACTACAAATTCGCTGCATTACATTCACACCACACATTGCCCTCAGACATGACATCTCCACTGCCTCCAGCCTTCTCCTCGTTGCAACATTCACCACCCATGCTTCACACCCATATAAGAGCGTTGATATACCTGTACTCTCATACATTTCTCTCTTTGCTTCCATGGACAAAGTTCTTTGTCTCCACAGACTCCTTGGTACACCACTTACCTTTTCCCCTCGTCAATTCTATAATTCACCTCATCTTTCATAGACCCATCTGCTGACACATCCTCTCCTAAATATCTGAATACATTCACCACCTCCATACTCTCTCCCTCCAACCTGATATTCAATCTTTCATTACCTAATTTTTTTGTTATCCTCATCACCTTATTCTTTCCTATATTCACTTTAAATTTTCCTCTTTTACATGCCCTACCAAACTCATCCACCAATCTCTGTAACTTCTCTTCAGAATCTTCCAAACCTTTTGCCAACACCCAAGCACTCACTACTCTTACAACCTCATCTATAAATACATTGAACAACCATGGTGATATCACACATCCTTGTCCAAAGCCTACTTTTACTGGGAAATAATCTCCCTCTCTCCTACATACTCTAACCCAAGCCTCACTATTCTCGTAAAAACTTATCACTGCTTTCAATAACCTACCTCTTATTCCATACATTTGCAACATCTGCCACATTGTCCCCCTATCCACCGTGTCATATTTTTTTTTTCAACAAACCAGCCATATCAAACCAAGGCAGGGTGGCCCAAAAAGAAAAACGAAATTCTCTCTTTTTAAATTTAGTAATTTATACAAGAGAAGGGGTTACTAGGCCCTTGCTGCTGGCATTTTAGTCGCCTCTTACAACATGCATGGCTTACGGAGGAAGAATTCTGTTCCACTTCCTCATGGAGATAAGAGGAAATAAACAAGAACAAGAACTAGAAAGAAAATAGAAGAAAACCCAGAGGGGTGTGTATATATATATGCTTGTACATGTATGTGTAGTGTGACCTAAGTGTAAGTAGAAGTAGCAAGACGTACCTGAAATCTCTCATGTTTTCTTTCTTTCATCACACCAGCCATATCCCACCGAGGCAGGGTGGTCCAAAAGGAAAAACAAAAGTTTCTCCTTTTACATTTAGTAATATATACAGGAGAAGAGGTTACCAACCCCTTGCTCCTGGCATTTTAGTCGCCTCTTACAACACACATGGCTTACGGAATATTGTAAAGTAGATTAGTCCATTACAGACCCCCAAACATACACGTACAAACGCACTTACATAAATACACTTACATAATTGGTCGCATTTGGAGGTGATCGTTATGCGGGGGTCCACTGTATATGTTTGTACATGTATGTGTAGTGTGACCTAAGTGTAAATAGAAGTAGCAAGATGTACCTGAAATCTTGCATGTGTATGAGACAATAAAAAGACACCAGCAATCCTACCATCATGTAAAACAATTACAGGCTTCTGTTTTACACTCACTTGGCAGGACGGTAGTACCTTCCTGGGTGGTTGCTGGCTATCAACCTACTACCTAGGACCCTGTCATATCTTCTTTCAACACACCGGCCGTATCCCACCGAGGTGGGGTGGCCCAAAAGGAAAAACGAAAGTTTCTCCTTTTACATTTAGTAATATATACAGGAGAAGGGGTTACTAGCTCCTTGCTCCCGGCATTTTAGTCGCCTCTTACAACACGCATGGCTTACGGAGGAAGAATTCTGTTCCACTTCCCCATGGAGGTAAGAGGAAATAAACAAGAACAAGAACTATAAAGAAAATAGAAGAAAACCCAAAGGGGTGTGTATATATATGCTTGTACATGTATGTGTAGTGTGACCTAAGTGTAAGTAGAAGTAGCAAGACGTACCTGTAATCTTGCATATTTATGAGACAGACAAAAGACACCAGCAATCCTACCATCATGTAAAACAATTACAGGCTTTCGTTTTACACTCACTTGGCAGGACGGTAGTACCTCCCTGGGTGGTTGCTGGCTACCAACCTACTACCTAGGACCCTGTCATATATCTTTTCCAAATCCATAAATGCCACATAAGCCTCTTTACCCTTATCTAGATACTGTTCACCTATATGTTTCATTGTAAACACTTGGTCTACACACCCTCTACCCTTGCTAAAGTCTCCTTGTTCATCGGCTACCCTACTCTCCGTCTTACTCTTAACTCTTTCAATAATAACTCTCCCATGCACTTTACTAGGTATACTCAACAGACTTATTTCCCTGTAATTTTTGCATTCTCTTTTGTCCCTTTTGCCTTTATACAGTGGAATTATACATGCTCTCTGCCAATCCCTAGGTACCTTACCCTCTTCTATACATTTATGAAATAAAAGCATCAACCACTTTAAAACTAATTGATTGGAACAATGTGATAGGAAATCTTAAGTCTAGTGACTTTCTGGATACGGTTCATGATTGCATTTTAAAACCGTTTGTGACAGAACCAACTAGAGGAAACAACCTGCTTGACTTGGTTCTTGCCAACAAAGAATCACTAGTTAATATTCTTGAGGTTAATGACGAGCTTGGGGAAAGTGATCACAAATCACTTAGTTTCAATATATCATGGAATTACCCAGATAACTGTCCCAGATTTTCACTTGGCCGACTTCATGGGACTGAAAAATTACTTGGGTGAGCTAAATTGGGATGACCTGACTGTAGGTCAGGTAGGTGGTGTTGGTTGCCAGTATGATATGTTTCAGAGCATAGTGCTGGCTGCCCAGACAACTTTTGTTCTGAGTAGGTAGGAGGAAGTTCGGGCGAGATATAAGTGACTATTGGCAGAAAGGTGGGCTAGTGCAAAGATGAGTAGTGGGGGGGTTGAAGAGGGTTGGAATAGTTTTAAAAATGCAGTATTAGAATGTGGGGCAGAAGTTTGTGGTTATAGGAGGGTGGGGGCAGGAGGAAAGAGGAGTGATTGGTGGAATGATGGAGTAAAGGGTGTGATAAAAGAGAAAAAGGTAGCTTACAAGAGGTTTTTACAAAGCAGAAGTGTTATAAGAAGAGCAGAGTATATGGAGAGTAAAAGAAAGGTGAAGAGAGTGGTGAGAGAGTGCAAAAGGAGAGCAGATGAAAGAGTGGGAGAGGCACTGTCAAGAAATTTTAATGAAAATAAGAAAAAATTTTGGAGTGAGTTAAACAAGTTAAGAAAGCCTAGGGAAAGTATGGATTTGTCAGTTAAAAACAGAGTAGGGGAGTTAGTAGATGGGGAGAGGGAGGTATTAGGTAGATGGAGAGAATATTTTGAGGAACTTTTAAATGTTGAGGAAGAAAGGGAGGCAGTAATTTCATGCACTGGCCAGGGAGGTATACCATCTTTTAGGAGTGAAGAAGAGCAGAATGTAAGTGTGGTGGAGGTACGTGAGGCATTACATAGAATGAAAGGGGGTAAAGCAGCTGAAACTGATGGGATCATGACAGAAATGTTAAAAGCAGGGGGGGATATAGTGTTGGAATGGTTGGTACTTTTGTTTAACCCTTTGAGGGTTTTGGTCGTACTAGTACGTCTTACGCGTAGGGGTTTTTGTCGTACTAGTACGCATAAATTCTAGCGGCCTCAAATCTCACAGGAAAAGGCTGATAAGCCTAGATGTGAGAGAATGGGTCTGTGTGGTGGGTGTGCACAGTAGGAAAAAAATCTGGCACCCAGTGGTGCATTGTGGGAATGCCATCATAGTACACAATTTCCACCATGCCTCGCGGTAAGAAGTTCCTCACTCCTCGGCGAATTGGGACACTTTTGTTCCCCAGTGACAGTTCTAATACAGATGGAAGTGACAGTGAAGATGAGTTTCAAGGTTCTGGTGAGGTTTTGACCGAAACTAATGACCATAATATGGGTAATAGTGAGGAAAACCCAGACAACCCACAGCCTTCCACCTCTGGTGTGGGCCATCTTGTTCACGTTCATTGTACCAGAATCAAAGAGGAAACTCCTATTTTCCAAAATCCCAGACTCAGATGTGAGCATTGGTGATGATAGTGATAGTGATTATGAACTACAAGCTCTTCAAACTTGTTCCAAGAATGAGGATGAGGAGGAGGCAGAGGAGGAGGAGGCAGAGGAGGAGGAGGCAAGAGAGGAGGAGGCAAGAGGAGGAGGAGGCAAAAGGAGGAGAGGCAAGAGGAGGAGGAGGCAAGAGGAGGAGGAGCAAGAGGAGGAGAGGAGGAGGAAGAAGAGGAGGAGGAGGAGGAGGAAGAAGAAAGAGGAGGAGGAGGAAGAAGAGGAGGAGGAGGAAGAAGAAGAGGAGGAGGAGGAGGAAGAAGAATACGTAATGATAACAATAATACATAATAATAATAATACATAATAATAATAATAGGTAATAATAAATGTTCACCCATGACAGTAACAA